GCAGGTATTTCTGAGAGGTGCCTGCTGTGCTGCAGGTAACACCTTGCTTGAGCTGAGCCCTCTCCACGTCCTTCCCTGCAGGCCAGACTGCAGCTGGGCCAGGAGGAGGTGATGCTGCAGTCCCCAGAAGAGCTGCAGCTCAATAACCTGGTCAAGCACGAAGTGGAGCTGCTGGTGGAGGATGGCAGGATGACGTTGACCATTGATGGCCTTTTCAACAGCTCCGTGGACATTCCAGGGCCTGTACAAGAGCTGGACATCAAGTATGGCCGCCCCCCCCCTGCCATACCTCACTGAGGCCAGCCCACCCTTCAGAGGTTGCCTCCACTTGGTGACTTTCAATGGCCTGGATGTTCTCTCCCCTCTGTCCTCTGATGGCAGCTCCAAGGTTTTCCACCGAGTCCAGGAAGGGTGCAGCACACAGTTCCTTGCAGAGCCTGAGGACCCCTTTGGGTTCCTGGGGCCTCACTCCTACATTGCGTTTCCCACGTGGGATGCAAGGGAGGAAGCAACCATCGAGTTCGTGATAACCACAAGCATCACCCAGGCCCCTCTCATCTACCACGCGGGGCTGGAGAATGACTTCTTCTACCTGGAGATCTCCAACGGGCGCCTCAGAGGGTTTGTTGAGAAGGGCAATGGCATCATTGTCCTGCACAACAACGTCTTCATCAGCGACGAGCAGCAGCATTACGTCAAAGTCTACACAGACATCCACAAGTTTGAGATCCTGATCGATTACTACGCTTCGTCCACCTCCAACCGGGGCATCAACAACCACCTGGACCTCCAGGGAAACCTCTTCATTGGAGGTATGAATGACAAAGCTTTGCAGAGGCTAAAGGAGCATCACCTTGCTTTCATCTCAGTGTGGACCATGACCAACAACTCGTTTGTTGGCTGCTTGGAGGACCTGCGGATAAACCTGCAGAGGAGAAGCCTGCAAGATGCCGTGATCACCAGGGACATCACAGCAGGCTGTGGAAAGCAGGAGCACTACTGGGACTATGAAGAGGTGTATGAGCAGGATGAGGCACCCACCTCCCCACCTCCAGATGTCCGGGCAGGAGCACCAGGCCTGGTGGTGGAACCATGCCAGCCAGACAGCAGCTTCCCACCAGCCTTTGCCAACATCAGCAGGCTGCTGCACGTCAGCCCCCTCATTGTCTCTGAAGGGGGCATGGCCTATCTGGAGTGGAAACATGCCCAGCCAACAGTCGACTTGAGTCTTGCAAACATCCGGCAGTCCCAGATCCTCTTCAGCATCACCAACGACCCCAGGCACGGCCAGCTGGAGCTGGACATCCCTGGCTCCAGGAGCAGAAGGAAGTTCACCCTGTTGGATATCGTGAATCGGAAAGTCAGATACATCCACGATGGCTCCGAGGGGCCCATGGACCAGCTGATGCTGGAGGTGACAGTCACTGCCCAGCAAGGGGTCCCCGAATGCTTGCGGCAGGGCCAGATGTACCTGCTGCCCATCATGATCAGCCCCACCAACGATGCCCCGCAGGTCATCTTTCCCCATGGGAACCACATGACAATCCTGAAGCACACACGGAAGCACCTGACCACGGATATCCTGCAGGTCCTAGATGATGACACACCCTGCGACGACCTCGAATTCCAGCTGCACGGTGGCCAGCAGATGGAGGAGGGTTACGTGGAGTACGACTTCCAGCCTGGAGTGCCCATCGAAGAGTTCTCCTGCAGGGACCTGGAAGCAGGCAACGTAGTCTATGTGCACCAGAGTGGGACAGACTTACAGCTCACCTTGCAGGTGAGTGATGGCATGTTCCCAAGCTCCGTGGCCACCCTAAGGATCCTTGCCATCGACCCTGACATCCACCTCCAGAACAACACTGGCCTCTCCATCTCCCAGGGAGGGGCTGGGCGCATTACCATGGCCAACCTCTCAGTGGAGACAAACGCTGTGAATCAACGGGTCACCATCCTGTATGTCCTCACAGAGCCCCTAAAGTACGGTGAGGTCCAGAAGCAAGGCAGCATGGGAGGGGAATGGAAAAAAGTCGAGTCCTTCCACCAGCAAGACCTGGAGCAAGGGCGCATCCAGTATTTCAGCACAGACTCGGAGCACAGGCTGGAAGATACCACAGAGAAGCTGAGATTCGAAGTCCAGGTGGGGCAGAAGGTCTTGCACAACAACACGTTCCTCATAAGGATTAAAAGAGCCACCATTAAGATGAAGACCATGGTCCCCCTCCAGATGAAGAACAAGCGGCACAGAAATATCACCAGTAAGGAGCTGGAGGCGATGTTGGAAGATGCCAACTCTGCCCCAGTCCCCTTCCACTACGTGATAATCCAGGCTCCCAAAAAGGGGAACCTGGAGCTGCTCGGCAACAGGCTGACTGAAGGCTTTGGGTTTACCCAGGATGACCTGCAGAGAAACCACCTGAGCTACAGCGTGACCATCAGGAACTCTCAGCAAGCTGAGGACACCTTCCAGTTCCGTGTCCGAGCTGGTGAGCAGCACTCTCCTGTCTACACTTACACAATCAGCATCGGTGGGGACCCCGACGCGCCAGCCCTGACCAACGTCCTCCTGACCGTGCCGGAAGGGGGACAGGCTGTCATCTCCAAAGACCACCTGTTTGTACAGAGCATGAACAGCATGGACTACGTCTACGAAGTGATCGAGGGGCCAGCACATGGGAGGCTGGCCTGGGCTGCTTCCCACGGCTGGGCCTCCAGAGAGGAGATCATGGAGTTCACCAACGATGACATCCTCCAGCGCCGGCTCCTGTACCAGCACGATGACTCGGAGACACTGGAGGACGACATCCCCTTCGTAGCCACCCGGCAGGGCGAAGGCAGCAGTGAGCCCGAGGCAGAGGAGGTGAGAGGCGTTTTCAGGGTCTCCATCCAACCTGTCAATGACCACGTCCCCGTCCAAGTGGTGAACAAGGTCTTCCACGTGGTGCGCAACGGGCAGCACCTGCTGACCACAGACGACATCGCCTTCGCCGACGAGGACTCCGGCTTCTCCGACTCGCAGCTGGTGCTGGCCAGGAAGGACATCCTGTTTGGCAGCATCGTGTCCGTCGATGACCGAAGCCGCCAGCTCTATCGCTTCACACAGGATGACCTGAGGAAGAAGAAGATCCTTTTTGTCCATTCGGGGGCCGACCGAGGCTGGATCCAGCTGCAGGTCTCCGATGGCCTCCACCAAACCACGGCCCTCCTGGAGGTTCAGGCGTCAGACCCCTACATCAAAATTGTGAACAACACCGGGCTAGTCATCCACCAGGGGAGCAGAGGGAACATCGACTCTTCTGTCCTCAGCCTGGAGACCAACATGGACATCAGGTCAGATGAAGAGATACGGTTCCTGATAACAACCCCCCCAAGGTGGGGGACGGTGCTGAGAGGGGAACAGCCAGTCATGGCCTTCTCCCTGAGAGACCTGCTAGCAGGAGAGATCTCCTACCACCACAACGGGAGCAGGAACACCCGGGATGAGCTCCAGTTCACTGTAGAAGCAAACGAGGTAGCAGTGGAGGACACGATGGCCATCAGCGTGTTCCTGGACACCCATCCCAGCCCCCTGCACATAGTCAACCACAAGGAGATGCATGTCTTCCAGGGAGAAGCAGCTGGGATCAAGGAGGAATACCTACTGGTGAGTATCCCCTTCTCTGACCATTCCCCAAGCCGGCATCACTTTCCTGGCCACCAAACCAGGACAGCTACTGGGGGGCTCCATTTGACACCCACCTGCCCAGAGCAAAGGACTCACACCCATGTCAGGCTTTGCCCAGAGGCAGGGGGGTGGCTCAGGCATGGCCTCGGCCAGGAGGTGACTCCTGCAGCTCACCCCACTGCAAATCCTTGGGAGAACACACAGCAGTGCACTGCGGGACAGCCCAGCCTCGCAGGCACCAGTCATGCCTTGTCTCCCCCACATTCCTAGGTCACCCATGAAGAGATCCCCCCCCAGGACATTGTCTACCTGGTGAGCAGCCCCCCAGCCTCCGGCTTCCTGGCGATGCTTCAGCACAGCGGAGACTCAAACGAGCAGCCCAGCCTAGACCCCATCCAGTCCTTCACTCAGGAGGACATCAACAATGGCAGAGTCCTCTACTTGCACTCCAGGCCAGAGGAAGAGCACGACCAGTTTGTGGTGGACATCACAGCCCAGGGTGCAGACCCACTGGAAGGGGTGGTGGTCGGCCTGGCAGTGCTCCCCATCACCGTCCCCCTGGATGTCCACAACATCACAGTGCCAGCAGGTGGTTCTGCTACCCTCTCCACGGGCATCCTCAACATCCCCAACACCTACTACACGGCTCTGGGCGTGGAGTTCAGGGTGCTGGAGCCCCCCCGTTTCGGCACCCTCCTGAACAGCCAGCGGCCCGAGGATGGTGGGCTGCACAGCTTCACCTGGAGCCAGGTACAGCACCCAAGGGTGCCCAGTTGCCCACCACTCTGCTTTCTCAGGGGAGCTGGGAAGAACCTGGGGGTGGGCTTCAGCCCCCAGTAACACTGGGAGGTCACCATCAGAGAGCTCTGCCCTTGGGATGGAAGGGCTGGAGGTGACACCCCTGAGATGTGCTTAAAGGCCTGGGGGGTACAGGTGGGGATGCAGGCAGAGCACCCACACTGGGCTCCAGGGCTGCTTCCCAAGGGGATCCACCCCACAGGGATGCCCCAGGCACACCAACCTCCTAGGCTGGTGCACGGGTGGGAGCTGGTGGCCTGTGTCCTCCCGGAAGGGTCACCCAGCCCCTGCCCTGCAGGTGGAGGACCAGCAGATCCAGTACAGGCAGGACGGTTCCCGGGCCCGGACCGACAGCTTCACCCTCTTGGCCAACGCCACCGAGGTGGCCCGGCAGAGCCAGCCCAGGACCCTCCTCATCACCATCCTGCCCCGCAGCTCCAGGGGACCCCGCCTGAGGGTCAACGCCGGCCTGCAGGTAGGAGCGGGATGCCACGGGGATGGGCAGCCATCCCCAGGGAACAGGGGGGGGGTCGGGCACCCGGGGGAGGGGGCGGCCAACCCAGTCTGGGGTCTCTAGGTGACCCTCTCTCAGCCTGGTGTCCCCCCCACCCCAAGAACTCGAGGGGCGCAGACCAGAGGCAGGGCGATGGGCTCCGGGGATAGGAGGCGGATTCCCGGTGGGACGAAGCTTTGCAGGAGGCGGAGACCGGGCTGTCCTTTCCCCCACCCCACCCCCCCAATTCTCCTCCCCCTTCCATCCCGTTCCTCTCCCCGCCGCCGATGCCGGAGCCGTCCGCGAGGTGGGAGCATCGCCCCGCGCGGCGGGGACATCATCGCGCCGTGCCACGGAGGCACGGGAGGGTCCCTCGGCTCCCCCCTGCCGAGGGCGAGGCAGCCTGCTCACCCTTCTCCAAGGCCCGGGATCATCCCCGGGGAGCAGCTTTGCCCACGTTTCATCAGGGCAAGTTTCACACCTTTCCCCGTGCCCGTCTCACAAGTCCCACCTTCCGTGGTACACACCTCCCTGCCTCGTTCCAGGGTCACTCCTGGAAAGCTGCAGCACAGGAATCATCAGAAAACATGCAGCTGAGCAGGAGGGCACACACCACCCCCTCCACCTCCCCAGGATACCCTTACCCATTCCAGGATTTCCCAGGCTGGCAGCAGGGAAAGCAGCTCCTTCTGACAGAATCATGGTGGGGACTCTGGGGAGGTGTTTGGGCTCTGGATGAGATGCCCAAAGGAAAGGGGATGGTTTGGGGACCATCCAGGCAGCCCCAGGGGCAGGGAGAGGGGTCAGGGGTGCTCAGGAAGCTTTGGAAGGCAGGCCCCCCATCCACAGCTCTGTCTCTGGGCCTGCCTGCAGGCCTGCCCCCCCGCCCACCGCTCTTTCTGGGCCCCTGCCTCGGCTACCCCTCCAGCCCAGGAAGCCCAGCCCCTTCCCAGCAAGCCCCTTTCAGCAGGTGGTGCCTCCCAGATCCCCCACAGCTGTGCCAGAATCCCACATTCCCAAGAGAACGGTTACACCTTGGCTGCTGGGCCCACGACAGCCCCTCGGCCCCCTGCCAGGGGCTGCTCCCTGCTGGCTCTTGCGGGGTGGGCTCAGGGCAGGGAGCAGGCAGGGCAGGCAGGGAGCAGGCAAACAGGGAGCAGGCAGG